TTTGACCAGCAGACCGGGCCGGGCCGCTTGGGAGCGGCAGGAGCGAGGGGTGGCGGTGCGGGGCCGAGGCCTGGCCGGCTGCGCGCTCCTCGCAGCCGTCGCCCTGCAGCCTTGTGCCAAGCATTCGCGCCGTTTTAGATACGAAAGCAGAGCGTTTTGATCTCAGACTGCGGTGAGCGGCTCTCGGTGCTTCACGGCGCTGTGGCTTTGGGCACGGCTTCCCTAACGGGGCAGGTGAACTAGCTTTGCCCTGCTCACCTTCGCTGATGCTACACCGGAGGAGAATGTTAATATGCGTAGTACTTTTTTTACACTGTTACTGTCCCATCTCCCTCCTAGCGGAGCTGTAATTTTTCGTGTCTAACACTAACCTCTCTCACCATCTGCGTGCCTTGCTCCCTTTCATCTGCCGCCAACGCAATAGGAGCGCTTCGCGCGCGCTGATTCACGTTCAGCAGCATCACTGAAGGCCGGGGCATATCACATCCACTTTACTGAAATCCTTTTCCTTTCTCCTGGGCACCTATTCAGTCTGTGTGGTCTGTGAGTCGCATACCGTAAGCACCTAGGTGTAAGTTGTACTGCAGCTGCTCATTACTCTCACAAACAGTTCTTAGGCCCTCAATATAGGCAAAGACGTTATCTACATGGAGCACTAGATGGCAGTCACCATTGTCAAAAATTTTGAGGTAAAGCATGACAAATGAATACATACAGGAGACTGCCTTTTACATGCAGGTTAATTTGCCTTCTTCAATTTTTTCTTATAACTGTGATTTTTTTTCTTCCTTTTACTCAGATGTCGGTGCCCAAGCCATAGTCACACTTATTCCCAAGGTAAGACTTAATTTGCGTCTCCGAAATAATTCTATGTGAGACCATGACCTTGTACCCAGATTTATAACCTGGGTAGAGGGAGCACATAAAAGGGAGAAAAGAAAACACTCTAAGGTAAGCAGTCTGTTATTTTCCAACTCTTCAGTAATAATGTGGAGAGATTCAGCATTTTCATGTAAGTCGCACCTAATACGTCCCTTCTCTCCCTTCATCTGTTGTAAGGCAACTTGATCAGAAAACTGCTGTGGCTGCTACTACTGATGTTATCACCTGAACCATCTTAACTTTAGATCTGCTTCTCAGGGGAAAAATGTGCATCTGTTACATTAGAAAAGAAACAGAAAGTGGTATCGGTAAACAGATATTCACAAAGACTTACTTTAGCTTGAGGAATGTAACCTCCGTAGGCTTTTTAATAGTTAATGAAGAGAATGTGGCTTACTGGGATCACGATCCCGGAGGAGGGTTGCATACAGTGACTGCGTTGCCCTCTGGAGGAATTTCTTTCTGCATTGGCTGTAGAGGGAGTCTGTGAGAGCAGCTCTTCCTGTGCTAAAGTTAGTCTCCAGATGTTCTTAATCTTTCAGTATATCCCATATGTTTCATTTTTACTACTATAAAGGTTCCTATAAGATATGGTAGGTAGAATTTCTATTAAAAAGTAATAATTTTGGCCTTAATTTCAGTAATAAGTGATTCTGAGTGGCTTGGTTTCATGTGCTTTACTTAAGACATTTTTCAAGGTCTCTGAAGAACAGTCATCACCATTTTACATATGGAAAAGCTATTGTATGTTCAGGTATTTATTATACCCAAGACAGATAGACAGCAGCAGAACAGAAAATAGAATCTAGTTCTTCCACCTATCCGCTGGATGACATACTCAGTCAATTCAAAATAAGCCCTTTGTAAAGGGAAATCTGTGTGAAGGATTCCCTATGTAAGTTCTATAGCAGAAATTGGGTCTACAATATATATAGCAAGATAATAACAGTTCCATAGTTCTCTAAAAAGTGGTAACCAACGTAGTAGTGATCCCAGCAGAAAATTGTTCCTTGTATTTTGTGACAGTGTTCTAGGAAATAAAGCAGTTTTTCAACTCAGCAAAATTCTTCCTGAGAGTTAACTTTGGCTCAAGAATATAACAGCAGGGCACCCATTATACCATCAGAAAGCAAGAGAGTAAATGGCTTGGACATGTTCTTAGCCTGTCAAGTTAATGACTAAGAGTACAGCAGACTCAAACTCCAGGAGAGGTCAAACATGTACAGCCTGGCAAGAGATGGCAATGAAAGAGCTGATAGCAGCTGGCCTGAGCTTGAATAGAAAGCACATAAAGGATTTTAATGCATCTATCTGTTACTATTGTGGGTCAGTGCTTCAGTGCACCCCAGAGTGTCTGTAGGCTCATTATCCTGGCTTCGCTCATTGGGTCTGAATTCAAATCACAATTTTTCAATTAATATAGCAGACGGAAGGCATGACTTCAGCACGAAGAGCAGAATGCCTCATCTGATCTTTTCTTGGAGAAGAACAGGCTGCTTCAGTTGATGAAGTTTGTTTCTCTTTGCGGCAAATGAGGATATGCAAAAGTACAGAGTTCTGTGGAACTTCACGCAAGAATGACTTAGCGAACAGAAGACATGACTGAAATGCTATCCTTATACTGTTTTCTCTCTTCCACTAAATAAAGTTGATAATGACACCAGTTCTTATTCAAAACTCTATTTATTATTAACGTTGCATTCAATTTCTTAATTTTCAAGCAAGTTTGGTGCTAGTTCAGCGTAAAAAGAAGCGTAAATGCCCCTCTGAATTATTCTCACACACCCACGCCCAAAAGATGTTTTCTGTCCAGGTGTACCTATAGAGGATGTCTCATGAACTTATGTGAAGATTGTTCTGAAGGATATATAGCTCCTACATTCATTTGCAATACCTTTAAGTCTAGAATCCTGTAAATTTTCTACATATTTATTATGCGCTGTTCTGATCTTTCCAGACTGTGAACAAATTATCATGCAGACATCCTGATAACTTATTAACTTATGTAGTAAAGAATTAGTTCTTGCAGGATGGAAAACACCTTTCTTTTACTGAATTTTATTAATCGGTCTAAGTACTTAGATCATTTGAACTAGCAAATAACAAGGGACAAAATTGGTAAGCGTTACCCAGACAAGCCAAGACAACCTGTGCAAATGTATTAGTGATTTTAAAAGCAAATGAATCACTTAACTTTAGTACTGAAATACAAATTTAAGCCAGTTTTTGTTCCCTAACTGTATGGTTTAATTTCCATTCCAGTTCCTGAACAGGCTACGCTGGGAAATACAGACTATGCATTTGAGGTAGATTTAATAAGAAATATTTTATTTGAATGTAGCAGTATATATACTTGCAAATATGACATTTAAGAAATATTTCCATTAATAAATATGATTCAATGTAGTTATTTAATATATTTATTTATATTTCATCTTGGATACTTGGGACATGATGCAGTTTCTCCATTTTTCCAGAAAATATGTTTTTATTTTGTAGATGGCCATTTCAAACATTCGATATGGAGAAGGAGTTACTAAAGAAATTGGCATGGTGAGCTTCAACAGTGGAAATCTATCACTGGTGAAAAGTTATTTCTAAAGGACTACTGGTACTACCAATCCAGGGAAAGCTTATATATAGCGTGTCTGAATCTCTACTGCTTAAAATATTTGTTGTCGTATATACTAGCGTAAAAAGCTTGGAAAATACTGTTAGGTAAGAAGAGTAGCATTCTACATCGATATTGCTGCAGTGTAAGTGACTACATGAAATGCAGCTTAATGGAAAATTAGATCTTTGATGATTTGCCAGTATCATTCAGGAATATTTTTCTCTGACAGAAAAGTTAATTCAAAAAGTTTTGATTCCTGGTGACTCACCAGAATTTCCTCAAGATCGCTTTCATCTCTTCCACTGCTCAGTAAAGTGAGTCAGAAACTTGCCATTAAACTAGATGGGTATGAGTTGGGCTCTGAGCTTGCACAGTGAAATTGCAGAATTTTTGTTTCCATTGCCTTGAGCAGTGTGGGATGATTCACCTGAGTAACATTGTCTGGTTCGCCTTTATCATGGGCTTTTTTTTTTATTATATTAATATTCAACATTAAACGCTCCAGATATTAATGCAAAGCTTTGATAGGCAGCTAGAGGAGATCTAACCTGCCGAAAGGCCTTTTTATATCACGTGAATTGTGAAAAAAAATATTTTGAAAAAGTATTTTGCCTTTTACTGTGGTCTTCAGCGGTTCCACTTCACTTGCTGGACATCCATGTTATTAGCTTTCTTCCAGTATATTCAGATGACTTCAACTGTAAAAATTTGACAGCTTTATAAATTCTGCTGTTTTCTGCGTCCTGTATGTATGTGTGGACTCTTTTAACTGATACTATTTCAAAAATCTTACAACAACCAATTGTTTTTAGTATTTTTAAATCGAATTATTCAGTTGAATTGGCTTAGTATTTAAATAGTTTAAGTTATGATTTTATACCAGTTGTTTGTTTTTTAATTTCATTGCTATTGCAGGACCTGCAGAATCTTGGTGCTAGAAGAGTTTGTTTGATGACAGATAGAAACCTTTCCCAACTCCCTCCTGTAAAAGCAGTACTGAACTCCTTGGCAAAACATAGTATAAACTTTCAGATGTACGATAATGTCCGGGTGGAGCCAACAGACCAAAGGTACTACTTCTGACTGCATTTCTCAAAGTAGTGCCTTGGCCCTTAAAGCATGCTGAATGTCTCTATGAGCACCCCTGTGTTTGTGTTCTGTACTCTGGTCTTAATATTTATGTTTTTTCCGTGTGCTGCTTTTCTCCTGACTAATTGGAAAGCCTTTCTTGTTTTCCAAGTTTCCTGGATGCCATTGCATTTGCTAAAAAGGGAGAGTTTGACGCCTATGTTGCTGTTGGAGGTGGGTCCGTAATAGACACCTGTAAAGCTGCCAACCTGTATGCATCCAGCCCTATGGCAGACTTCTTGGATTACGTCAATGCTCCTATTGGGAAAGGGAAGCCTGTCACTGTGCCCCTTAAGCCACTCATTGCAGGTAAAGAGGGAAGGGTAGGAGAAAGGGAATCTTTTCATGGTCTCTCTAGATATTTCTGCTGAAATCCGTTTACTATGACCTTTTCACTGTCTTTGGGCTTAATTTTCCTCTAGTTGTATTCAGCAACAATTTTGCTATATACTTCAGTGGAAGTAAGATCATCAGTTTGTCAGCAGTTTGTTTAGCTGAGTTTGACTCCTTTTACTGGGAAAAGAGATTAATGTTAGCTGTTTCTCTTCGCCCTTTGGCTTCCCATCTAGTGTCTGGTTCTTCAACGATACCGCTGAGATTTCCTAGATCTTTTTTTTTTTCATTGCATTATTATTGTGGTTTTATTTATTTATTTTACATTATTCTGTATTACTTATTATTTCTTATTGTCCTCATTCTTCTTTTCAAGTTCCTACAACAGCTGGAACTGGAAGTGAAACTACAGGTGTTGCCATTTTTGACTTCAAAGAACTGAAAGTAAAAACCGGTGAGATTTTTTTGTCTGCTATTTAAGACAATTTTTTTTTCCAACGTCTTCGTTATTTCCCTGCCTTGAAAGAAAGAGATACCACGTGTCATTGCAGGTGTCATTTCATTCAATTCAGCTACCACCAACGAATTTGAAGAGCGTAAAGCTTTCGCCCTTGAGTTAAATTTAAAGCATATTAGCATAATGAAATGCTTATGTAGTACAGTGTATTATAGTTTGAAGGAAAAAACAGGAAACTAAAATCTTTCAAGTCTTTAAATGGCAGAAAATGTTAATTGGAAAGGAAATTTCTACTTTCTTTCAGGGTCAACCAACTGTTCCTTATTTCCTCTATATTTTCTTTTCTGTTTTTAAGACTTCTGTTTCTTTGTTGTATAATTGCAACCAAATGTTCCTTTTCCTGACTTTTGAAACCTCAGGCCTGAGATGCTATGCAAGTGAGGAGCGCTGTCTTCCTTTGACCTTTTCATCCCTGGAAAATAAGGGTTAAGGCTAAAATGTCATCTTAAGCTTCATAGCTATTTTGAGGTTTTACTTCTTAGTGTTGTGTGGGTTTTATGTGCCACGCAGTCTACAATATTTGGGACAAATGAGTGTACTGAGGAGTTCTGACGGTACCTCAGAGTTTTCCAGTCTATATATAGTCAGTCAGTCCCTCTCTCAAAGCTGTGTCAGTCTCTCTCTCTCTCTCTCTCTCTCTCAAAGCCATATCTGTGCCGTCTTAACTACAACAAGAAGGTACAGTTATTAGAGATGCTGAGGACAGCAATTACCAACAGCAATTAATTCTGGAAACAAACCAGTCTTGCTTTCTGATTCTTCTCAGAAGATATAAATTAAAGAGTAATGTTGTAGATGCCATTCAGCAGAGACATTTTGAAAGTATAGGCTGCTCAGGGAGGATTACAAATGGAGAGAGAACTTTGGTATTATTCACTCCAGGCAACTGTGCCAAATCAAACAACTCTCTTACAGTGAGACGTAGAGACTTAGACCTAGAGACATAGACCTTTCTTACTCTTCCTTCTGTCCCTTTCCTCTGCTTTTGTATTCATAGTTTCAAATCATTTCCCATCGTTTTTTTTACAAATTGAACATTAAGCTTTTTTATCCTGTTTTATTGTAAAAATTCTTTAACTTTTTTTCCTAACTTACATATTGCAGGCATTGCTTCAAGAGCCATTAAGCCCACACTAGGCATCATTGATCCTTTACACACCCTGTCCATGCCAGAGCGAATAGTGGCCAACAGTGGCTTCGATGTGCTTTGGTGCGTTTACAGTAGGCTGCTGTTTGATTTTATTACAGTTGTGTATTTTTACTATAATGGTTGTACAAAAAAAATATTTTAGGGGAAGAAAAAGATGACCTTCTTTCTCTTTTGCTGTTCTTTTTAGGGTGATCTCAGTTATACCTTCCTCTTACTTAATTACGCTAGGTCCCTTAGTCCTGTTGGAAGCAAATCATTCAGTTGCAGAGATTTTAATGTTTGTGCAGTGTGCTGGACAAACCATTTGCTTTCAGGGTGGTGCCTGTTGGGGGAAGAGAGTCTAGGTGTCACTTTTCAAGCGATCATGTAGATGACTAACGACAGAACTGTGACATTTAGCATGTCTGACAGATATAGCAGGGAACAGAGAACAAGGATTTTCTAATAAAAGCCACAATGTGTCAACAAAACTTTGTTAGGGCTTGTGGGATACCAGCAAGTTTTAGCCCAATTATGAGAACCTTCAGAACCTCTCTCATAATGTGCTTTTTACTTGTCATAAAATTTTCTTCTACTCTGGATTTCAGGTTTTAACTGCACAAAATGCATGGAAGTTTCTATTCTGAGGGTCAAAGCTTGCTTTGCTTTTGTATGTTGTATATATTAAAGTAATGTATATGCAATGAAACTGTGTGATTTCTCAAGCTTAGTGAATTATCCCAAACTACAATAGCTGTAATGGAATTTAGGCATTTGTTTATAAATGTACTTTTGTACATATAAATTTAGCAATGTAGGCAATGCGATGCTTTATGATAGTCAGAATCTTGTCCGGCAGACAAGATTTCCACTTTAAGCTAAATCTCACTTAGCTTAAGTATCACGCTCCAAATTTTTGAAGGTCAATGCTTTTAAAAGAAAAGTAGCTTACTATGCTGACAGTGCTAGAACCTTTTAAGGCTTGCTTCCTACAGAAAGGAAATGCACCCATTGCAGATTCACAGCACTCGTTAATGAAAAGCATTTCAAACCAAGATGCCAATTCATCTGACCTAACTTTGGCCATGAACTGAGTTGATAGATTGTGACTGTGTTTGGGTTGTGGGTCTGTTGGAGAGCTGGGCATTCTGGAGGTGTCCATCCAGCTTTCTCCCAGTCATCTATGATACCGTGTTTCTAATTTTGGCATCTGTTAAGCACCAGAAGTTATTAAGAGGAACCTGGACTGAAAGGACAGCAGGGCAGTAAAGTGGAGTTCTTCCACTTAATTCGTTTTTCGTCTTTCTTATAGTCATGCTCTAGAATCATACACTGCTCTTCCTTACAAGATGCGCAGTCCCTGCCCTACAAATCCAATCAACCGACCGGCTTACCAAGGCAGCAACCCCATCAGTGATGTCTGGGCTCTCCATGCTCTGCGCATTGTAGCTAAATATTTGAAAAGGTAATGTGTCCAACAGCCGTGCCCCCTCTCAGCATGTTCAGTCTTCACTGCCCAAAAAGGAATGCCTAGAAGGACTTGAATTTTAGTCTGAAATGAAGCAAAGAGTTATTTTAGAACGTCATTTCCTACCCTGGATTTCTCTTGAATAAAGCCAAAAAATTATGTCAGATAAAATTGGAGGTAGGATTAGGGTTATGGGGTTAAGTTGCCAAGGTAGCTTTTTAATGCCTCTGCAAATCTATTTCAGAAGCCCTCAGCTAAAGTATTTTGAGCTGCTCAGTTAATATGGGAGCAGCACTCTTATACTTTTCAATAATCCTCTTTCTGTGACAGCTTAAAGGGAATATGTGATAAACTGAACTAAGTACTGCTGGAGTCATTTCCCTGACTTTTAGTGTAAATGAAGATACGTATACAAATAGTAGATAAGTGAATGTGATTATCTTTTCGATGGACTTGTGAATACGTAAAATTACATGCTTATTGGAAATTAGTTCATAACTTAGAAGACTTTCCATTTAGATTAAATTTTGACTTAACTGGGTGCTGGATTTGATCCTTAGCAATAAAGTTTTAACTTTTGTATATTGTATGCATTTCTATTAAAGATCAACATTTATTTTTTTTTATAAAAGCCTCTTTACAGTACCCGTCTAGTCAAAGTAGTTGTTTATTGTTCCTATAGGCTGAAATCTGTTCATTAGTTTTTTCCTGCATGTTGTCAAACAACATAAGCATGCTGTTGTGTAGGCAGGCAGGGAACTCTGACTTCTCCTTGCACAGATGGTGCAAGTCCGGCCAGCATCTGATGAGATGATGAAAAAAGCTCAGAGCTTGGATCTAAACATGTATTTACCAGAGTTTGGTAGTAGAATTGTTTAAGCCAGAGGTGGATGTGTCTAATTTCACCCTGTTTACTCACATTTTGGAAAAGTGAGAGGAAATTCACCCTTCGGTGAACTAGTTTGATAGAAGCAGGATCTCTTTGAAGTGTCACTGAAGTGACAACTGATCCCATTTCCAGCATTTTTTTTCTCAACTTATCTTGGAGGTTTTTGTATGTCTTTCCCACAAACCCTTTCTCCCCACCCTGAATTAGCAATGCATATGTGAGATTACTAGTACTATTGTCTCCATGGCGCACAGAGCCATCAGAAACCCTGAAGACCGTGAAGCAAGAGCTAGCATGCATCTAGCAAGTGCTTTTGCTGGTATTGGCTTTGGCAATGCTGGTGTTCATCTCTGGTAAGTACAGAAAATGTTAATTCCTTCCCAGGTCACCTTCTCTCCTAGTGTTTGCTTCAGATTGCCGAAGACACTGCTGACACTGTAGCCTGGCCTATGATGCCTCTTATCACAGAGGGGCCTTATGCTATGAGAAATTAGTAGTCTCTTGCCACTTACAGTAGGAGGATTCTACATTCTCACTTGGTATGACTTAAAACCAGTCCTGTAAAAATTCCAAAACATGGCCTATTTTTCCTTCCTTGGTTGTAAAAACCATAATTAGAAAAATAAAATCATTGCTATTAAAATGCTGAATTCTGTCAGCTGTTCTGCAGTCACACAGTGCTGAGCTAATCTTGTGCCATTCCTGAACTGAAGCAATTGACAATAAATTTGTCTGTGGGGTAGACATTTAGCAAGCTAAAATGAGCTGTAGTTAATATTTTAAGTCTAATTTCTAGTTTCAGAGAAGCAGAGCCTAAGCCTGAATTGTATGAAAAAGTTATTAGCAGTGAATCTCTTCAGAGACCTTCCTTTCATTCCTTTTGTTTGAGCAAATGTACTCTTTAATTATACTTTCAGGCTGATGTTTATTTTACTCAGTGTGATCAGGCAGGGATGCAGATGATGCTATTCATGGATTCTCTGCGTTACTTCAGTATCTGAGCATGTTTCAGTCTTTTTGGACTAGTATAACATCACACTCAAAGCAAGGAGGTGCTTGTTCTTGCTGTTTTTACAGGTAGGTCCTAAGGTGCAGAGGCTGAGGGATGTCTGTACCATATCGGTATCTAAATGCCTTTTGAGTATCTGTGGATGAGACACTGGCATGCAGAAGACTGGCAGTATAAAGGATTGAACACAAGTCTTCTAAACACCAGGAGAGTTGCCCTAACCACTTTTTCTCTACTCTCTGTTCCAGCCATGGAATGTCTTACCCTATTTCTGGTTTGGTGAAAACTTACAAACCAAAGGATTATAATGTGGATCACTCTTTAGTGGTAAAACTTGGTTTATCTTTGTTTTTATACTATACACTTCAACTCTCCATTATGTCACATTAATAAGCATTAAAGCACATTGCTTAAGTGGTTAGTAGATACCTGTTGATGCATTTTTATATTTTTTCTCTTCTCCAGCCGCATGGCCTTTCTGTGGTGCTGACATCCCCAGCAGTGTTTGCTTTTACAGCGCAGATACATCCTGAGCGGCACTTGGAAGCTGCAGAGATACTAGGTAGGAATCTCTGTCAGTACAGCTTATTAATGGAAATGGAATTCTTCCCGAGTAGTCTTTTCGGGAGAAAAAGAATGTGTGAAAACAACTGTAATGGTTCTTGCAGGGGTTTTAATTTTAAAATACAAATACTGGGTTCTGGAGTCTGATAGAGTTACTCACTGTGCAAACAGAGGATTTGATATCTGGATAGTATAATGTTAACTTTTTAATACTACAGGATGATGTGTGCTTAGAGGAGCGAGCTTGAGAAATCTGCTTCTTAGCTAGAGAACTTTCAAATTGAAATTAGCTATACTGTGAAGCTATCTTATGAATCAGGAGAGAATAGTTGTGATTGGCATCTCTCTTGTGCTTTATGGATAGAAGTTACTTTAGAGTAGGTACCATAAAACAAAGCAGTACTCTCAAAAAGGTGCATCTGTTAGCTAAAAGGAAGTATTTTGCCTAACAAGTTCCCTGCTGTTGCAGAGAATTAGGACAGAGTAATGTTCGGGATTACTCCTGCTCTTTTCTGAGGCATATCATAACTGTGGCTTTCAGTCTTTCTACTGTAGGCCTAAGCATGTTTGGAAGTATTGGAATTTTAATGGCCGACGTTGAGGGAGCGTGTGGACTAGCTCTTCTGTGGACACATCTGTGGTGGCACAGAACTGGATTAATGAACAAAGTGGCCTCTTTTGCCCCTTGGCAGAATAAAAGTAAATGCTGCAAGCAGGCAGCACATTTCAAGAGGATCGTTTCATACAGTGCCTTGTTAATCTGTGGAACCTAGCACCAGAAGGCCTCTCAGAGAGATACTTCTTCATTGCACCTGCAGCATTGACTGCATGTGAGCTAATGTATTTGTTATCTAAGGTCAGCTTTTCTGCCTGCTCTAGGCTGTGTTGTAGAAAAACTACTGCTAATACCCTTGCTTACTATCTTCAGTTTCTGTACACAGCAATCCAGTCACAAGTATGACTTCCCTGTATAATTAATCTGAAAGCATGGTAGGTTTCAAGAGTGGGGCTTTTATACAGACAATGAAAGTATCACTGTCATATTAAAGATGATTTAAAACAACATGGTCAGAAAAAATATATTGGGGGAAAATTCAGATTATGTTATAATTGTTGGTTATGAGGTTTGCTCAGTTTTCTTCCAAGGTATGCGGTTTTGCCTATGGTCGAAGACAGACCACAAACCTAGCTGAAGTCTAAGCTAGGAAATTTCTGTGTTCCTTCAGTAATAACATAACTTCAAATAAAGCGGACTAAGAAAATGTTGTTGGATAACTGGCCAGCACAGCATATCTAGAGAATTTGCTCTCTGTCGTCTTGATTTTAAAACAAGGAGTGAAACAGCAGTTCCTCTAGGTTTTACGGTGTGAACTGCTGCCAGAAATTCTGTATCTGAAACCTTCATTTAATTTTCTCAATAGAAATTTAAATTGTGTTGTTGTCTTCCTTGCTATAAAAGGATTCTGCCGAAAACATGTCTTGTGAAAATGAATTTGTTAACTCCCACCTGAGGTGTTTACTTTTGATTCCGGTCCAGAGTCCAACTGACTACAGTAGCTGATTCAAATCTGTCATGCTGCCAAATGCCATGGTTAAGAAGGTATTTTATGACATGGAGCAGATTAGTAAATAGTTATGTCGTGTGTATGTACAGCTGTGAATTTAAGTACAGCTAGAACAAGCTTAATATCTCCCTTGGTGGATTCCTAAACAGTTGAAATAGGTGTGCGTGTGGCCAGAAATTTTGTAAGTGCTGTCAAAGATCAGTGTATTCTTCGGGTTAAACAAAAAGAAAGTACTACAACTGGAGCAGTGTTTCAAGAGTGCCCTTCATGTTTACGATCCTTCTTTTCCCTCCTCCCTTTCCCTTCTTACTTTCTGTCTAAAGTTACTGGATTGCCTTCATGTTCCAATTACTTCTCTACAGCAAAACCCAGGATGAATGCAGACTGCATGGCATAATCCCAACAGCATGAGACTTCATGCAAGACTCTCTAATAAGTTATTTATCAGTTTCTCCCAGATAGTTGAGTAATAAGAGTGGCAATACTGTGGTAGAGACTATCTGAGCCTGAGGATCACAGAAAATATTTTTCCTGTGACTGTATTGTGGTCTTACTCATCTCTCAGTATGGCACTTGGACCCAACATTGTTCTGGTGTTACGTCTTTGAAGTTACGCGGAAAACAAATTTGGCTCAGCTTGCTTTGGAAAGAAGCATTATAGAGGAAGTTATGTCTTCTATTTCTATATGCTTTTTTTTTTTTAATTAAATTCTGACCATTCTTTGTAGAGCAAGCTGTTCTGTAAGAAACATTGGTATACTTTCATTTTATATTGATGCTTTTGTTACTGTTTAGTAGATACTTTCAAGATATCCATTCTTCCTCTTCAGTCCTACGTTATCCTACTCTAGACAACATATATTGAAATAGCATTAATCTCAGGATTTATTTAACCCCTCTAAACGTTGTCCTGCTGTCTTCTGTCTCCCTCAGCCTACCTACTCTCGTCCTCTGAACAGAAGAGTGAGAAACAAATAGAAAATTATTTGATCACTGGTTTTCATGTCCTCTAGATGTCAGCAAAGTCAAGGCCTTAAAAAAAGTTGGCATTTGGCACACTGTCCATAAAAATAAATACCACTGATGTTCATGTGCTAGCTTCTTTCCTCCCAGCAGTTAGTCGAACTGAAAAGTGCTTCTCCCTGTAAGCACAGAGAGAAAGGAAGTGAACTTCACGTGGCAGTTAGTCTTTCTGGCAGCAGTTACTTGCTTCTCCTGATCTTATTTTATTCCACCTTTTACAAATTACTCCAACTGTAAAATGAAGACTGATTCCTGTTTTTACTTCATGTTGCTTTTAGAGCGGTAGCTGTTATGCATGGATATGTATTCAGCTGATATTATGATTAAATTAAGTCCAGAGCAGGCTTCCTCTTCTCTCTCCACCCTACAGTCAAGGCATTATGTCTTATTTTAGGAGCTGACATCCGCACTGCCAGAATCAAGGATGCAGGGTTTATTTTGGCAGACACGCTCCGGAAATTCCTATTTGATCTGAATGTTGATGATGGCTTAGCTGCAATTGGTTATTCTAAAGCAGACATCCCTGAATTAGTCAAAGGCACTCTGCCTCAGGTAAGACAGAAAGCAAAGCAGTTTTTCTTTTCAAAAAGGACAGATTTTTAATAAACAAAAGTGTTTCTTTTCAAGCAAATGTTATTCCTAGTCCTACATGAAAGCAATTAAAATGGAGAAAATAATGGAAAGTCAACTGTCTTTTTCCTTTGCCCAGTTTAGGTTTTTCCGTTTAGTGGAATGGAGTGCATGCTGCAGTCTGTTCTTCACTTGGATTCAGAAAGAATGGCTAGTTATGTTTTTCTAAACTTCAAATTTTTGAAAAGAGGATGTTTTTCATATAACTTTGAATTGGTAGAAGAGACTGTGTTTTCTTAACTAACTCTGTTACTTATACATGCAGAATGGGTTATACTTAAAAGCCTTAATACTGAGTGCTAGCTGGTAAGAATGATCGAGCTCACTTTGCGTTAGACTTTTTCTTACTGAGAAGTTGCACTTTTCTTCCCAGATGGCTTTTTTGTTCCATTGACCCCCATCAGAATTTGAAATAAGGTCCCCTGGGATGATACAGATTAAACTTGTAATACCCTTTATCGTTTCATTGCTCACAAAGACACTGCAAAAAGGAACACATCACATCGAAAGGAAAATCCAAAATTTCCCTTGTAAAAAGAAACTTCGATTCATGTGCTATGGACTCTACTGTCTACTTATGATTTATTGCCACCAAATATCAAGGGAAGTAAATGCTACAGAGAAAATAAAAATTTTGTAGACTGAAGGGTCATTCAGTTTTTACGACAGTACTTCTTACCGTGTCATTCACAAATCTCAGAGCAACTTACAACAGAGGGAATATTAATATTCCTATTTTATAGCTGAGAAAATGAGACACAAAGATGCAGATGTTTTAGATCACACACAACAGATCAGTGGCACAGCCCCAAAGAAACCTAAGGTCCCTGATAGTCCATCAAATAGTTTTTGCACGTAAGTTGTTATAGGGCCCTTTGGAGGCTTGTTTTGATAATATATTCTTCTAAAGCAGTTATTTTGGGTTCATTACATGCACAAAATCTCATCAAAGGTATGTTTTCCGTAGCTTTTTTTTTTTTTTGAATTCTTCAGCAAAAGATGCTGTAGGGTTTTTGTTTGTTTGTTTGTTAGCTTAGCTCAAATTGACTTTTAATTCATTTACTTCCTCTTACTGCATCGGTGATTAGTTGTACTATGTAAAATGGGATGAGATAATAGTTTTTCAAACCTTATTTTTGTACGTGAAGTGTAGCGTAAAGAAAACGGATTGCTGTTTCTTAATGGTCCATTACCCACAGAGGTATTCCATACAGTTCAGTCTTTGATATATTTTTCTTTTCATCTTGCAGTAGGTTTTTTTTGGAATACAGCACCGACCTATTCATGTTGGCAATGCAGTGTGGTGCAGACTGATACATCTAATAAATCTGCAGAACGTATTTCACACTGTGAAATGCAGGCTGCAGGAAAACAAAACTAATCCACTCTAATTACCAGGATTTGAGACTGGAACTCTGTTGGGACAAATATTTATATTTGAAGTATATTTGAAAACAGAGTTTTATTTTCCTTTCTAAGTGAATCTGTTGAAACTGATTCTGTTTACAGCATAGCAGGCAGTCTAGCAAAGGAGATTATGTCCCAGGGCCTAAGATGTCTGGTCCTGAGTCGGTGTTTGGGGGTGATGAGGAGGACCAAACATGATAGAGTGCAGAGGGCCTGTTGCCTCCCCCAGCCCACCTCTCTGCAAACATACCAGAGGCAGTTATAATGTGGACATACCTCTGATGAGCACAAACTTGCTCATTACTGGCACTATTCCAGAATCTAGTGAGTCAGACGAGAGGAGCCAAGACCTTGCTTTCTGGGCATTAGCAATAACAGCAGGCTTGTGTAGAGGCGATGCTGATTGCTCTGCTTCGAAGCATAGTAAGAGCTTGTGTTTGTAACATTCTCTTTGTATAGCTTGAAAATACTAGTATGTCCAGTCTGTCAGGGTGGTCGTGTCTCATCACCCTGTGTGACTTCATAGATAACCCTGTCCGTCAAAATGCACAGAGTTGCAAAACTGTAATTTGACCCAGAGGGTCCTAATATAAGCCTGATGAGTCTGAGTACTTGAACACTGAGTTATTATATTGAGTGTTGGGCTTTTGAAAAAAACACATGCTTTTCTTGCAGAGCCATCTGAATTTTCCATTTGATTTCAGATCTGTGTAGAAGAATCTTAGCCTTTTCTTTGGCTAGACTTGTGTGCGTAGCTGTGGTAGCAGCACCAGCAAATCTTCCAGTGCAGGTAGCGTTAGGCTTATAAGGCTGCACTTTTCAGACTCAGCATAGCTCATGCTAATCATGCTGATCTTGATCATGAACTGTGATTACCTCACAGCTGACTTCCTCTCCGTGTTAGGCCAATATTTCACATATTCACTTCGCAATGCAGTCACCTCTGTCTTGCTTTGTGACCACATCCAGCTGGCCCACAGCTCTCAGCCATGTGGGTTCAGAGGGAAGTGGAGTGGCTGAGACATTGGGCTGCCATGGAGGTACATGCCACTGGGAGAGAGCCTGTGCTCAGAAGGGTGCCGTTAACTGAGCTTTCTCCACTTGAAGGAGGGCTGGAGGTATTCCTTGCTTAGCATCCAATTCAGTATATGAGGCAAGGGGCTCAGCAAATGATATCCCACACCACTGTCTCACAAGGGGAAAAAAGGAAGAAATCTGAAAGCTCAGGCTTTTACTAGGATAGCCTCTTTCACTGGGGAGATGTTGAAATAGCTTTGTAGCAGAAGAAATACTATTTTGCCAAATTCACCTGGAGACCGCTTTGCTGAGAAACAATGCATTCCTAGCGTAGGCCTGGCTTCTGTCTTTTTAGATGCTTTTAACTCTCCCTAGTCGTTGAATAAATGTTAAAGTTGTTGATGCTTAAAATCATAAAAGTACTAATCACAACCAGTACAACTACATGAATATTAGGCCCTTTCAGCTAAGTGGAGTCATGTGCCACACGTTTTTGCAATAACTGAGTACCTATAATAATACCTATTCATTCTGAATAGAACAGCAGCTTTTCTGAATTGCGATCCCTGCCTTCGTAGTTATTTTGTCATGCAGAGCAGTGAAGCATACACCTGAGTTTCATTTCGGTCAGTGGGGCTTAAGCACCTGAAAATTCTGTTGAATCACAGTCCAAGTGAAGACCACCCACAACTGTTCTGATTCCAAAGTGACAAGCTATTTATTAAGCAGTTTCACTACCTTCCCAGCCGTGTCTTCTCTTTAGGATCTGATGTCACAGGCACTGTTTTTTCTACACATCTAGTGCAGTTCCTGAGCACTAGAGAGATGTTTTATTTTGAAAATGTTCATCCCTAAAAATGAAACTCCTACTTCCATTGCTGGCAAGTGAATTTTAAAATGGACTGTATTCCCAGGATACTGCAGGCCAATCTACTGACATCTTTGATTGACAAGATTCATCTATAAAGTACTTGACTTTGCAAATGAACTGCCTTTTCATCCAGTTTGTGTGTTTAATTACAAGCAATGTAAACTATTATATGCTTGAAAGTACAGTGCAGTTGTTGATGCTTCAACCTTATTACTTTAATTACTTGATTACTTATTTGCAAAACCTTATTATTTTCTGTGAAGGACGTTAGTACAAAGCCACATAGTTCAGCTACATAATTAACTACTGTTTGATTCATTTCATTGGCAACCTTCTGTAATCCAGTTTTTCTTTAATCTTGCAGGAGAGAGTGACCAAACTATCACCACGTCCTCAGACAGAAGAAGACTTATCTGCCCTCTTTGAGGCTTCCATGAAGCTTTATTAGCTTAAAATTTTAATCAGAAAAGTATATTATTTTCTAGCTAACACAAAGGTGATTTCTTATAGATATCAGGCTGGATTTGTTTAGGGAATGGAAGAACTTGGGTGTCTTCCTCTTCTGTTCCATTGCACACTGTCAAAAGGTCAACTAATTCATTTTTAACTAAATAGTACTTTGAAGTGGAAAGCTTGATTGCGTTTTCTCTTGCTCAGTAGTCAGCGGTATTACTTGCGTAAAAGCTGGATCAGACTATTACCTATAGTGAAGGCTTTCCTGTGCTTCAGAGGTGGTCAAAAGTGGAAATTGTTTTTCAAGTGATATTCTGAAACATTTTACAAAATACTATTTTTATTTTTAAATTGTCTGTGATTTTGTTTATTTTAAAGTCATGTTATTTTAGGAATAATTTAGGTCATTCTTAATTCGAAAGGGGAAGTTCCCTTGTGGAAAAAGTCAGCCTCCAATATTCTCTTTCACTTTATGATCTTTTTACCACCTTGCTCCAGAGCTATTAGAAGGCTATTAAAGTAGGGTACTTTTTTGTGGTTTGATTGATAAAAAACTTACGCACATTTTATATGTTTGGAAAAGGCTTCCTGAAACTGCATTGGCGTTAGAATTTTTTAATGTCTTGTCAGATATTTGTCTTTTCTTTTAAGATCTATGTGAAGTGTTCATAGGAGGAGCAAAAGCAGAATGAAGTGCACTTCTAAACTCGACAGGAACTGCGTAACAGCAAGACATCATCCATCACGTGTGTCTTTTCTCTGTGGAGGCCACAGCTCCCTTTTCCTGCTGTGTGCTGTGGGAAGAAGCTATCAACTGTATCTTGCTTCTGTGTGAAATAATTGCTTCTGCTGAGCTCCTGCTGGTGCTGTCACTTAGAGTACAAGCCACCAGCTTAAGGAAATGGCGGTATGCTGTGGTTCAGTATTAAAAAGTGGTGGTGTAGCATATGGCTGCACAGTGCCCCACTAGGAGTGCTGGCTAAACATGGGAATGAGTGTGCACGTTCAGAACAGTTAACCAGCTGGTTGACTGTCAACTGAGAAAGGGAAGTGGGAAAGGGAGAAATGAAACTCAAATTTTAATACTATTTTTTCTTGTTAAAACTGTGCACATGGTCTGGGTGTACAATTCATTTAAATCAAACTCTGCTTCATGGTGGGCTTTCAGCACCAGCTTCCTGTAGCTACTAACAGCACAACACAAGTGTGAGAAGAACCATACAACCTCTGATATACTTGTTTCTTTCTGCTAGGAAGAGACCAGTTCTTCAGTCGCCCTGTTGAAGTAGTGGGCTCTGTACTTACATCTTTGCACTCTAGTCTTTGCACGATAAGACTTGTGCTGTCCTGCAATCTGAGGCCAGATCCATATTGGATGGTGACACTGAGTCTATTTAGTGCTCAGTTGAAGTAGGTAGATTGATACTGGTTGAAGACCAGAGGTTTTCTTTTTAACCACAAAATGGATTTAGGGGCCATAGGGACTGTACAGACTGTACAGACTTCCAGACTGTACTGCCAATATACCTCAGCCTCTTCTGGGAAACACATTGGATTTCCACGTCCTTCAGAATCTTGTCCTCTCTGCAGAAATTGCCCGCAAGAATCGCTATTGCAAAGGCTTACTTTGCAATAGCAAAAGATGAAGGATTCATTTTACTGTATTATACCAACTTGCCTTAGCCACAGAAAATCTTTTAGTTAAACCCTTTTGTATGTAATTTTTGGTATGTTTCATCTTTCCACTCTTGTCTTTCTGCGGGCTGTGGTAGCGGTAGAGTTCTGAAGGGAGGATTTTTTTCCAGGAGCCTAATTCCTAGCAGCCATGTTGCTTAGAGAGAATATAGTTTCTGGGGAACTGAACAGTGCATGGATTTCCTTACTGCACTTGAGCACTTTGATGGGCTAGCTAAGAATGTAGGATATTTTACTCCAGTATGCTTTTTATTTACCATTTATGCATATGTGGCAGTTATTAGCAGGCTGGATTTTCCACCGACAGAACTTCACACTTAGCTTCCTACTTTCAGGTAACTCGGAGCTCTTGCTAATTTTTAAATTAAGCTTCACAACGCCCTTTGATGTAACGGTTTTTAACAATGTTTTAGAGATGAGACAAAAGGTTTGATACCATCTGTAATCCAACATAAGCACATTGTGCTGCAAGAAAGGGCCATTTCTCTTTCCAACAACCCTTTGGTAGCAGCAGGGTTTTAGACTGGCTTAAACTGGTTGTAAAATCTCACTGGTAGACATCAGCTGCATGAATGTTTCCCCACCACCAATTATTAGCTACAAGTGCAAGTTTTCTGAGAAAATCAAGGGAGCTTAAGTCACCCCACTGTGCTGTCTTTCCAATAGTGAGGGTTTGATACTGTATCACAGCCTGGTTCCTGGCCTGCTCTGAGCATTGGTAGTTTTACTCACAACTGAAGAGACAGGGGGAACTTTTTTATGTATTATGTAACTAAATTATTCTACAGTGAGAAAATCTAGCTGGTCAAATATATCTGTATCTTTTAACACAGTTGTTCCACATGTGACTTCTATTACTGCTCTGTTACTAAAGGCCTCCAGAACATCTGTGTGACTACTTTTAAAGGCTACAGGAATGCAAATAATGAATAATATTGCACTTGCTGTAAACAAGCTTATGAAAGTGTTTGAGAGCTGTGTTTAACTCTGTCATGCACAGAATCACAGAATCGTTTATGTTGGATGGGACCTCTGGAGATCATCTAGTCCAACCTCCCTGTTCAAGCAGGGTCACCTAGAGCATATTGCCCAGGATCACATCCAGATGTTAACTTGAATCTCGTAAAGTAACTATGAATCAAAATCATTCAGAGAAAATAAGCTTTCATTAGCATCATAGAGAATAACGATTATTTCTGCAGAGTTGTTCGTTTGGTGAGCTTGGCTGTATGCACAGAAAACCCTTGTATCATGAGTGATAATTGAAAAGAATGTTACAGAAGTTTCAGAAATAAAAGCACACAAACTGCTGCGCTGTATGTCTCTGAACTTCTAGGAAGCTTCTAGTACACCTGCTCTGTTAGTCAATACATAGTTTTAAGTATGTATTTCCTGACAACGCTAGCAAACCTTATATGTCATACTTGTTAGCAGACTGACTTCCTGCCTTAAAGAGCTAAAACTATATAAAATAATGTGCCAGTCTTTATTTAAAAAAGAATATATGCCCAGTTTATCTACATCATAGCTTTTCAATAGGTCTTAAGCAAGCATAAATGGGGGCTATTCAGTGCTGTCAGCAGAACGGTTTGAAGGGACGCCTTTCTATTAGAGTAGGAGTTATCACATCTGTACTAGCAAACTAGTCAAATTCTTGCTGTGGAGACTGATCTGCGACTTCTGTAACATAGTCCTGATTTTCGGAGTTGCGCACATGCATACAGACACTGAACCATTTGGTTTCTCAGTCTGTCTTCAGTGATAAGGTTAGCTTTTGGGAGTGAGCATGAACAAGTGTGTGTCGTGCTGATGAAAGTAATTAAACAGCAGGTATAATTTTACCTAGACTACAAAATGGAAAACCCGCTCCCCTTACAAGGTACTCAGAGCTTGCAGGGTTATTGTTTAGCATCAACAGAAATGGGGGCAGCTGGTACATTACTTTGCCTACAGTAGTTTGTTCACACCCCCTTTTCCCCTTCCAGAGCTGATTATGCCCATAGTTAAAGCAAAAATAGAATGAACCAAAAAATATGTACCTAACATGGCTAAATCTTTGAAAACTCTTACGTTCATCCTGTGCAAATAAACTTGGAAGAAATTATAGGTAAGTCAGTATGCAAGTTTATCCCTCACTGCAGCATGTTCACCTCAGGGCAATGTGCCATGGCTGTCATCCTCTGTCTTGTGGCTGGCCTTCCACCCTCCTGAGACCTGGAAAATGGATTGAAAAAGAGCGTTCGTTAAAAGGCACACGGCAAAGCTACATCTAGGCACTTTCCATAACCCTCAGGTAAATCTGCTGAAAGCATCACAGTGCTCCAGAGCATGTGCATTATGTCTTGGGCTTCCACATCTTACCTTCTGCCTAAGCGGTAATAAATCCCTCACTGCATTAAGTATATCTGTGGAGAAGGGACAAGAGCAATGTACGGCAATCCAGCAAGAGGCCGAAAGAGATATTGTCCATTTTTCCTTCGACAATCTCTGTGTATTTCCTAAATAAAAGATAACTTAATTCAAATGCAAAATAGCTGTTAAACACCAACTAATGAATGCAGAAAATAATGGGATTGTTTTCCTGATCTCTCCAAGAGCTGTTGTTCACGCGGCAGTACAAAGACTGCTAGTTTGTCACAGTGCTTGTCACGAGAAGCAAGGGAGGGTCATGTGCACCTACCTGCCCTGGTAATCCTGCCTCATAACCTGATTCGATTTTTGAGCCATCGCCAGGTTTCTTGCAGAACAAGAGACTGCTCTTTGGAAAATAGTATGGTGGGACTTAGAGTGGATGAATTTGCGAAGGGTCTCAGCTCTATTTGCAGGTACTTTTTTTTTTTGCAGGCAGTTACCTTTGTACTTACGTGTAGCGTGTAGGTGAAATAGCACAAGGCTCCGTTTGGTGAAGAAATATTTAGTGTATTTTTATGTGCATGTGTCAGAGTGGTTGCTGTCATGCAGTTGTACACAAGAATAAGCAGAAGCTTTTGATTTTGCTCTGAATTTCTCAGTGAAACTGAGAGAAATAACAAAAATTGGGATATCATTAGAAAAGCTGCAGCTCCCCTAAGTAGAGCATTTTAGAACAGTTTTATATTTTGCCATAAAAAAAAAACAGAATGCCATTCATTTTCTTTTTTCCCCATTGTACTGAAAAAGCCATCACAAGTGACTTGGTAGGAAGCTTTATGCAGCCAAACTGTAACAATGAAGGGAAGAACCATTTTGGCACAGCTCAAGGGAATGTTAATTCCAAAGTCTTAAGTTGAGTTAATTTCATATTAATATGAGAAGGGATGAAAAAATAGTTCAAAATGTTCAGTCTTTGGTTTCTATAGAAAAAGTACAAGATGTATGTATTTTTCAAAGAACTCCAAATACTGTTAATGGCAGCAGATATTTTTCTCTGAAGAATAAAAAAGTTAATGCACAGCCATTAGGAGTCACAGTTAAGTAAAAGCAGAAGAAAAGTGGAACGTATCCTTTGAAGAGCAACGTTAATTCATGTCGCATTGTCCATCAGGGAGCCTGATTCTGCTGTCAAGTACATGGGCAGCACGTACACCGCCTGAGTCAGTGGAGCAGCAAAAGAGTGACTGCTTTGCCCACACTGTAGTCTGAGCTTCTGTTAAATATTTAACTTAATTTAGTAATACTCCATCATGAAATATATATCGTAGCACAAACAGTAGTTCGTTGATGTGAAATTTTCTCCTTTGTGTTCCTTGACTTGTAGTAGCTTTAACCTACTTTAACAATGTGCTTGTGCTTTTCGTGGGCTATGCTATTTGAATGTTTGACCATACAGCCTTAAATTAGCAACTTGACATTGAAATGCTGATTTACACCTGCAGTCAAATGGATAACACATGTTAAAGACTGATTGTCAGCCGCTCCAATACATTATTGCTTCATTCTGTGGTATTGTCACTTGCCTTTATGCAATTTAAGGACACCATTGTGTGGCATTGTTGGTATTGCTATGGACACAGCTGTAGGGGGCTGACACTCTGTGTGGAGTTTGTCATCTATCTAAAAGCTGACATCACTTTCAAAAAATCACTGTGCAAGTTTGGATGTTTAAGTGTTCTGTATATTTTAGGTTAGCATTGAAAATAAAGAAGCTTTTTGCTGGCATAAAAAACCCCAGCATTGTATAACTTGCTCTTCTGACCTTTTCACTTTAAGAAAGATTAATGGTCATTTGGATTAGAACTTCCCCCCAGTCAGGGGTCTGAATGCCTTGGGGATTCGGACAGACAAAGAAAGCTTTTTCGCCTCAAGGTCAGCAGCCCAGACCTTTAGCGTATCTCTAGTGACCATTAGATGGCTGCTCAGTACTTTCTGTGCCTGAGTTGATCATCTTAATCTGTTTCCCAGTGGACAGGGCTCAGCCTCGTGAAAACTGGCATTACACGCTTGCCTGAGCAGCAAGGAAGAGGAAGCAAGGTGAACGGAACCTGAATTCCTTTTTTCTTGCCCTAGTACAGCGACAGAGCCTCTAAAACCCTGGCTTCGGTGTGGATTGAGCCTTCTCTCAGGTCATCTTTCTATGCCATGAGGGGATGAAGCCATGGTGGTGAGCCACGTCGTGCAGACGAGTGGCAACACTCCTGCATTCCCTTCTGCAGGGCTTCAGCTCCTGCTCCTGGAGCACACGTTCAGACACACACAGTGACGGGACATGCATTTCTGGCATGTGAATCCTCTTTTCTCTCTGCCATTTCTCTCTGTGCGTTATTGAGAGGTGTGATCTGCGTTACATATGTTGGTTTTGGAAGGAAAGGTCAGAGGAGCAGTCTTGCTTTGAGAATTGTGAGTGCTGTGTGCAAAGCAGTTTGGACATCCTGTAAAAACACATTGCACAGATTTAATGTAGCCATCTCCCAAGTTTAATTTATGGAGCAGTCAATCTGATACACTTCATACCTACTATTTGCTTATTTAAAATTGAAGTCCTACCCTTGAGGTGTGGTTAAATTAGGACTACACGGTGGGTGAAGTTGAGCACAGAGCTTAGGGACACATTTGCATTGTAAAGTAACCATTTGTGACTTCTTATGTCACGAATTATAATGTCACCAACAGTAAAGCACAATTCAGGGACCTACCTAACAGAGCTGAGCTAAAATCACTGACTCACTGAACAAAGGCTATGGAGGGCCAGCTGATGCTTGCTGGTCTGAGCGTGTACTTCACTGGAGACGTCGTATTTGCATAGCGAGCAAGGCTTTGTTAAAAAAAAATGACTTGTGTGCCGACATACGTGTGCAGTTGCTTACAGCTAAGACACTGAGCCTGACTACACAGCATGGTTACACGCTTGAGAGTATACGAAGTTAAAAGAAAGAGCTAGGAGCTAGGAGTCCACCTCTTTTCTGTTGACTAAGCTGGGAGGATATAGAAACGTGGGACTTCAGGGGAACACGTTAAAAGAGAATATTTGTTTTACAAAACACTGTAAAAATCTAGAGAACGTAGAGTGTAAAAGGATGTAATTATTAAGGAAAGTTTGTGATGGCTAATGCAAAGTCCCAATAACTCTCTACTGTTTTCTGTTGGTTGTCCTCTATCTTAGGTTTACCTCTGTACAGTATGTCCCTTGTAGCGGACAGAGCAACTGAGCAGATTACAACCAGAATTAATAAAGATAAGTGGTTTAAGTTTAAAGGCTAATAGGACAGAGGAAAATGCCGAGTATAGATCATCAGTTCTGTAAAAATCAAAAATCGTGGGGGGTGGATGACTTGAAAAGGACTGACCTGTATGCAGCTTATGAGCTTGGAAATCCTCCCATATGTATTCATGGCATTAATTCCTCGTGTTATCTGAGGTGATCTACTTTAATCAGATTCCTAGAAACAAGCCAGGTACTTAAAGCAGAAGATCTTTGACACCCATGCTGGCAGTGTCAATAGAGAAGCCAAAGACCAAATCACAGCAGGGAGACCAGATAACCCATTTCATCTCTCCAAAACTCTTATTAGGATAATTGGCATCAGAGGGATTTCCTCAGTTTCCCCTTCCAGATCATAGCTGTATGGTTGCTTAGTGTACTTGTCACACAAACCTACCTCAAAAGTCTCACATATGAAAGACTTCACAATTCTATATTAATGCTCCCACTCTGTCCTAAAACCTTCTTTGTCATAAAGAAGGTCGTAGTGTCCCGTGCTATCTCGCTGCCCCACACAGGCACAAAAAGTTAAATTTGGGTCAAAATGGGAGCCTTAATTTGAATCCTGCTTCTGTGCCCTTAACACAGCTTCTCATATTACCTATTCCCATTTTCCAAGTTCCTCGCATTGTGGT